AGCTCTTTTGTACGCCGAGAAAATCCTCTCTGAATATTAAAACAATAGAAGTTCGTTTATGAGCTCCTGGCTGAATCTGGAAGAACCACTAGCAAAATGCTATTGTTTTATACTTAGAGAGGATTTTCTCGGCCCGCATGCGTTTATATGATTAATATAAAATAATATCAAACTTGTTAGAAAGAGCATGATTAGCTCTGTATTGTGTGCTAATTTCAAAGCTACAGCTCTTTTGTACGCCGAGAAAATCCTCTCTGAATATTAAAATAATAGAAATTCGTTATTGAGCTCTTGGCTAATCTGGAAGAACCACTAGACCACTAGCAAAATGCTATTGTTTTATACTCAGAGAGGATTTTCTCGGCCCGCATGCGTATATATAATTAATAGAAAATAATATCAAACTTGTTAGAAAGAGCATGATTAGCACTGTATTGTGTGCTAATTTCAAAGCTGCAGCTCTTTTATACGCCGAGAAAATCCTCTCTGAATATTAAAACAATAGAAATTCGTCAAAGAACTTTGGGTGAACCAGTAGAGCAAATGGCTAAAACAAGTTTTCAACACGAAAAAGGAGAATTCCTGGACAAATTATGGTGCATCAAAAAGAGCATGATGAACTATGTATTGTTTGCTAGTTTCAAAGCTACAGCTCTTTTGTGGGCCGAACTATTAACGAATTTCTATTGTTTTAATATTCAGAGAGGATTTTATCGGTGTACAAAGCTGTAGCTTTGAAATTAGCACACGATACAGAACCACAGATGCACAGATATATATGCATGAATATTAAATCAATAGAAATTGGTTAATGAGCTTTTGGGTAATCTGGAGGAACCACTCGCTAAAATAAGCTTTCATCTCGAAAAAGGGGAATTCCTGAACATTGTATAGCTCGTAACAAAGAGCGTGATTAGCTTAGTATTGAGAAAATCCTCCCTGAGTATTGTAAACGATAGAATTTTGTTCCTACGTCTATATCTCTGCGAAAAAGAGGAATTCCTAGACAATTTATGGCTAATAAAGAAGAGTGTGATTACCAGGAATTCCCCCTTTTCGCAGAGATAGAAACGCATGAACAAAACTGTATTGTTAAACCGGAAGAAACACTAACTAAAACGAGCCTTTTAACTCGTTAACAAAATTCTATTGTTTTAATATTCAGAGAGGATTTTTCTTGTGGTGAATGAAAAACGAAAATGGAAACAGAGTCCTGTGAACGATTTGGCTTTATTTTCAAATACCTACGCACAGAATAAGATATATTTAAATTTTAGGGAAACTGTAATTGAAAATTGTGGCCTTTATTTCTTTATACAATAAAGAACTCGAGCAAAAGAAGTATCGCACAATTAGGATTTTAAACCAAAATTGCTTGTCATGAATTTCAATTCCCTGTTTGTTACATCTATTACAAAAACGGACAATTTAAAGGCCTACATTCAAGGCTTCGGTGTGAAAGAAAATTCAATTTACCTAGTGGCTCGTTACGTTTGTTGCAAACGTAGAACCTGAAAATAATGCGAGTTCGAGAAAAGATAGTACAATTCGAGACCAAATCGCACTGCTGCGAGGCAGTTTGATTTTTTGTTGGTTTTTAAAGTTTTTTTTTTTTCCAAAAGAGTGATTTACGAAATAGTCACACATCTGAGAGCAGTTATATTCGAGGACCACGAGTGATTCTAAAATGGATGTAGAAAATTTTTTTTTTTTTTTTTTTCAGCTACTGTAGGTATCAATTTGATTAGTCAGTAGCACCGGATGGCGTAACACCTGGGTGGCAATGGCTTTCAATCCTGGTGTTCATCAACTCTGTGCTTTTAATACCATCACTACAGCTGCAAGTTGATCCAGATTTAAAATCCTCAGGTGCAACCGCTAGCTTTCTGCGCCTTCTCTTTCCAATGATGTGCACCAGAAATAAAATAAATCCACACAACAATATGCTCGCCAGGAGAGCTATCCACGTACTATGCTGTTTGACAACTGAAGGGATGTTGCCACTTTTGCGGTTTTCATCTTTGTTATGAACAGTTCCGGAGTCTGGAACCCCGTTACTTGATGTTCCGGAATCATTGGACTTGGGACAGCCGGAATCGGTGGAATTCGGAGAGGATGTTGATTCTTGACAATCGTTTCCTTTCTTGTGACTACCACCTAGGGAGGTTCCAATGTTTCCCTCTCCTGGTTTGGTTTGTTTCGAAGTGATATCACTTGCGTTCTGGTTGCTGTGATTAAGGTTCGTGGTTCGTTCAATGGTGGCTGGCGTAGCAGTGGAGTTATATGTGTTGGTGGTACTGCTTGGGGTTTGAGTACTTCCCAAATCACGCTTGACACGTTGCTTCCGTCCTAGAAGCCAAAGAGCTAAGACAAAGAAAGTAAATTTACCAACTTTGGCCAGAGGAAACGGTCAATTCTGACTGATCAATGAAATGCGTCAAGATAAAAGAGCTGACGGTCTAACGGTTGATAGGTGACGCGTAATTAATCCCAAATATAAAACGCGACGGGTGAATTTTTTTCAGAAAAGCAAGGTAAGGTGAGATTTAAAGGTTTACCTTTCAATTCGTGACACTTGAAATGCTGTTTAAAGTGCACATAACGCATAAATTTTGTGCGTGAAATGGAATCAGGAACTTACGTAACTTCCCCTCCTCCCCACACTCTTTCGATCCTCCCATTGATTTTTTGGAAGATGATGAACACAACTTCTAGCAAATTTGGCCAGAAAAAAAAAAAAAAAACGAAAAAAAACAAAAAACACAAAAAAATGGTCACCTGCTTAATAGAATGCTATAAGACTAAAGTTGTCGGGGCACGTCCTTCTAAGTTGCTCCAAGGTTTTGACCTCGGTCTTCGAACGAAGAAATGGACATAGTAGTTCAAATCCTCGTGCGGGACACATGATTGTTTTTTCCGCATGCTCATGACAAATGCAATCAACTTCCTTCGTTCCATAATAGAGCCCTAAATTAACCTTCTTTACTATTCTATTTATTGTCCATATTCCGAACATTTTTTGAGCAAGGAATACTAAAGGAAAACGGAACAACATAGTAGCTGAGCATTTCATACCTGCAGAACTAATTTTGCGATTACATAATTCAAATCATGTCCCTTCGCCACCCTAAACACTTTCATCCATCACCAAAAGACCGCCTTAAAAAACAGGCTGCAATTGTTTTCCAAAGTTTAGTGCATACACTTTTTAATCGGGTTGCGGCGAAACAAGAAGGAAGGAAAAAAAGTATTTGCTACATAATGATCAAAGGTAAAGCGGAGGACACCGGCGCTTTTTCCTTGTCGGGTGTTAGAAGCCTTTTTTTTTAAATGTCGCAGCTTTCAATGCTACATAGTAAACATTCTTACTTCTTTGATTACGTCAACGGAGCATGCTGCTAAGATGAAATATATCTTACGCGATCCATCACCATTCTAATAAAGTTCTGAGAAATTTGAATACCTTTTTGATTAAGTAAGTTTGCTGCGAGAAGAATTATCCGTCTCAAGGCTATCGGAATTTGAAGAAAATGTTCTGCTCTTAAGCTCGTGCGCAGACCCTGGAAGCTAAAAAATTATACTTCTTACCTAAACGAGCCCTTATGATGGCTGAGGGATCATTAACTTTGCATCAAAATTTCGAAAGAAGTTCCCACCTGACAACCTGAGCAGTTCGTTATCGAGCCATTTTTTTTTCACCCCAAAATTTGCACGTCAAAGTCGAATGGCGTAACCAATCTAAAAACACACTAACCTTGTGCACGTTGTGGTTTGCTCAAAGTTGCTGCCGAGGGTCTAAAGACGATGGTAGAAGACAGACAAGCGAACAAAGCCCCAAGAGCAAACAATGGCCTTAAAGGTTTCATTTTGAAAATTACACCAAATGAAATCGTATAGTGCCTAATTCGTTTATGGTGTCTGCGGTACAAAAGCACACCTCGCTGACCTTATACTAAGACACCTGACACCATGTAGAATCGTATAACACTCGAGATAGAGAAAATGGACATGTTGACGTTTTTTGTCTTCACAGTAACGTCCTCGCCTAATGACCGCTGACAATATTGGACTGACTACTAACCTCATCATATTTCACTACAAACACTTATTACGGATACTCAAGTTTTTTCGGCAGAAAGGTCAACGATCTCACAGCCACCGCAAGGACAAATGACGTATGCGCAGTAGCTGTTTCTTCTTGGGGCATGTGATATTCACTTCGTAAGAGATCAGTAACAGTGGTATTTCCTGACTAACTGCGACTTGTCTCTTTCAAAACCACTGTCTGTACTTAGAGACGATCCAGGTGTTACAAGGACTTCAGTTAGTGTGAACTGATTTACATGACTGTTAGTTCTGCTTGGTAGACATAACCCTTGCTAATGAGAGGTCGTAAGATTTGAACTCATTCCAACAGACGATCCACCCCAACGCAGAACAAAAAAAGACTGACGTGTTTTCATTCCACGTCGCGTGTCATCTCTCCTACAACGACCTGACCTTTATGCACTTATAACAGTGATCAAGTGTTAAATGGACAAAAGAACAGGGATAAGCGCGTTATTGTCAGAATTTATCTAATTCAAAGTAATGTTTTTTTTTTTATATATATCTTAAGGCAAAACTCAAACAACTACATCAAAAGCACTGAGCGAGACTGTTTACTCTCGCTGAAATACACTTTGAGATAGAAATAAATTGCACTTGATCAAAAAGTTAATTTAGGGATCTGCCCGAACAACTGTTGACTTTAAACTGATCACTACCTATCATAATCTTATATATTCTCAAATATCTATAAGAGCGCAAATATCCAAAAACTTCTTAAATCCTGGCTCAGTTCGTTTTGGAGTCCTTCCAATCTCGCACCACTAAAAAAAGGATTTTGAAGTTAGATTTTATAGGACAAAAAAGTCGGCCAATGACAAGATTAGTTATGTCATGTTGGTGACCTCGTCTTCATGAGGCCCAATATTTAGGCCGAAAGTTCACGAAGTTTGTCACGGAAAGAAAATCCTAAACAATCATACAGCGGGCGAAGAAATCTCACACGAGAGACAGCCACATAACTGTTTTCAATACTCGTTCACATTGTTAATTCGAAAAACAGATAGCGTTAAGCTTTTAAAATTTGGAAAGATTCCTTTATAATGCTCCCATACTATTCTTAAACAAAGCTGTAATCCCAAAGAGAATCTAATGTTTTCGAAATTGGTTTTGTAACCAAGATTTGAAAGCACAAGGAAGGTTGGTTTTGTGCGAAAATTTTGCCCACAAGTCTTAAGCTTCGACAACTGTTTCGCTTTCCGTAAACTTTTATGAGACTAGCTTGGCCTTATGGCCTGTAGTTCTTCTACCATCCAGAAGACGAGAAGTTTTACTACTTTCTTACACTTCCATGGTTACAATCTTTTAAACGAAGAAATGTACGGTCTAGATGGCACAACTTCTAGATGACATCTTTTAACAATAATAGTAGAAAAATATTTCAGCCCTTAGGCCGAGACCTCAACAAAATCAAAGTCCTGTAAAACTATTATTCAGAAACACCCAAAGCGTTTTTAACAATTGTAAACAGAAAAAATATATATATCTATAGAGGTTAATGAACACCTGTAATGAAGAATTAGCCTCAGAAATCTTAGGATTGCGTTCAAAAAGATGTTGGGAAAAGTCGGAATGTGATGGGTTTTAAGAAATTCGAAATATCGCGACATAACTGAAATTAATGATGTGATGAGAGGTTATAGCAAAGAAAAATCCGAAACATTTGATTAACATGTTGATTTATTTACGGCGAACTAATGAGAGAATTAGTCTAATAAATTAACAATTTATTTCAAGGTTTAAAATCTAAAATATGCCAGTGGTGAGTCAAGTCTCGTGTCAACGTTGCTAACTTTTGGTCCATTACACAAATTTTCAATAGAAGTTCAATGCACAAGACATGATTAACTCTCCCAGAAGAGATCAATTTTTAACTTCTCCTTATAATATACATACATCACTCAGAAAACAGGTAATGAGAATAGTTAAATCTATCAGTTAAAAGTTGATATTTTGATCTTTAATACTGAATTGCTGTAAGTCATGCACATGGAAATGTGTAGCAGCTAGAGGGGAGAGTCCAAAATCAGATCCATTGAGTTATAGGGTTAAATTTTAATAGCACGAGTGCAGAAATGTCTGAAGGGTAAACATTATTTAGGGAATTCGACGAAAGACAGACGTTTTTGGTGTTTAATTTTGAAAGTCTAATTCGATTATTTTTTAAAAAAAAGTGTGGAATTGTGTTTAACTGAAAAAAGAGAGATCAAAGGACTTAAAACGTTTTCCATTTTTGTGGCTCTATTAATAGTTGCAACATACTTGAGATCAAATGGCGAGCAAGGCCGCCAGGCATATGGTGGTGTTGAGAGATGGAATATAGCCAATCTTTTTAACCCTCGCTATACCAAATTTCTTGGACGATTGTTTCCCTATGAATGGTCTGACAGCGTGGGTCTAGAACTTAGACTTTAGAGTTTAGAGCCACCTTGTACTGCATTGCAAATAGTTCTACGTTAAGGTACTGCTCAATAGTTAATATTAAAACAGTCACAGGCTAAGCCGGGTTTCATTTAAAAACTCTAGTAACAAATGAGAACCATTTTAGTAAAAAATAACATGAAAAGTATTCCATGAAAGATGCGCTCTCCTTTTAAATGACAAACACGAGGAATCTTGTCACAAGACGATTTGCATTTCTCTTTCCTTGTATCATGAATTATTTTTGTCCCGTCCTCTTGCAAAATACAAACATTTTTTTATTCAACAACAGAGCTGAAAGTAGCCATCTTATCATAATTTGCTTTAGGGAGAATCACGTGTCTTTAATTTAGGAGAACCTTAAAATAACCTCTAGCCCCAGTAGACAAACTCCAAAGAATGCGCACAAAAATAGTTGGTCAAAAAAAGGGAAGATAAGAGCAGAATGCCATAACGAACTTGAAAAGTTCGTCTTACCGTCCGCCCGTGTTACTGATCCACTTAACATTAATATGTTTTCTTAAATCGTTTTTTTTTTTTTCCGGCGTCACTCAGACAGTTGTAGACATCGTTTGTTTTAGCAGGTTTAAGATCAGGGGTCATGAAAAAGAGTACCTTTATGGCCCGTCTAACTCGAATTTGGTATGGAGCCTGCCGGAAGTGTGAAGTGTATCCTTCCAAAGATACGAATAGTCATAGTCTGCTACACAGCCGTTCTTTCGGGTCGTCACGTGGGGAGGAGCGTTGCGTGACGACCCTAAGAACGGCTGTGTAGCTGATCTGATCAGATTATTATCATGCGCGCGCACTGCTGCTCTGTAAAAAAAATTCACGGACCAATAACGCATGAATCGAAAACTGAAAGAACAAATGAATTAATCAACTAAATGAAAAGGTTAATTATCATTATTTGTTTTTGTTAAAAACTATTTTTGGCTAATCCACAATCATCCGTGAATTGGTAACAATGCAAATAATTTCATTTTTGTTCAAGCTATTTTCGGTTAATCCGCAATCCACGTATTAATAACAAACAGCAATTAAAAAATCCAATTATCAAACAAATAAATCATTTGTAGAATTAGAACAAGTTCAGTAACCTTGTATGTGCGTTTGTTTCTTTAATAACGAAACATCCGTTCGATAACCGATTCCGTTCGACTCCAACCGCTTAATCTGAATCGACACCTTGAAAAACTGCAAAATGAACGCTAGCTCAAACTTACATTCTCCTAAAAGCTTGCGCGTGAATGAGCTGACTTTGGGCTTTCTTTCTCTAATGCCCTTTGTGGTTAACAAAGTAATTTTATCCCTTAAGTTAAAAAGATTATGGAATAGTCTAGCAGTTAGAGATTACTCTTGATTTGTATGACCGGCTTATGAAATACTCTTCGCTGATAAGACTCACACGATCTCGTCTGCGCATCTTTAGAAGTTTGTTTAGATCTTCCAAAAATACTTTCTCTTAATTATGTAAATCGCTCGACATCAATGAAACTACACTTTCTCAAAGCATCACTTCGTCTTTTTAGTCAACTTTGAAAATTGCCCTATTCTAATAATGAGAAACACTGTCGGTTTCCATGGAGTAAATTCAATGTCTGCTCGATGCGTTCTTCGAGGTAGATTTTGCTCTGCCGAACCCATACCACTGTTGTTCGTGCTGAAGACGGCTGTGTCAAGACAAAAAAAAAAACTTATCATCTACCGCCCAAAAGGCTCAGATAACAAACTCAGTGCAAGCAAGCAAATTTCATGAAATTCATTTGCGTTTGGAGTTTACAAAAATGATACTACGATCAAAGCGTTTCTTGTTTAGTAGCGGCCTATTACGTATTTTACGTATATAACATCAATGGCAGAAAGAACAAGCAGAAAAACTTAAAAAAGGAGATTAAAATTAATTATGCTCACAAAATGGTATGGTAAAGTTTGCTTTCTACAAAAATAACGTGAAAGGGCACAAGTGGGCTTAAGTGACCCTCCCAAAATAGACCATTAATTGCTCACTGAGTGAGTGAGAGGGTCAGACGCCAAAAAGAAATGGCTCGTGATCATAATTGAGAGCCAAATATTTTCCCTTTTCTTTCTTCACTTCGCATCACGCGAGGCCATTGAGCTTTTTCCCGGAACCTGTTACTGCCAACTTGGGGGCAAATTTTTTCAATAAAAGCTGTAAGAGCCATATGATATTAAGAATAAAGACTTCTTTCCTAGAAGTTAACATTGTTTTATATACATCGAAACCAGTCGCTAGACATTTTAATTTACCTAATCATTCTAAGCAACATATGGCAATCTGCGGTCTTTCCTTACACTTAGGTAGCACGGAAAGTCGTAAAAATCTTGAACAAAAGCTCATCTTTCAAACCGGCAGTCTAAATCCCACAGGGATCAACGAACGCTTTTCATTCCACTAATTTATTCTTGTTTTTCTCGTTGCCATGTTCCCACCAATAACGTAGCTCCATTCTCTGCCTTTAAAAGCACACACAACCCACAATTCCTCTATTCGCTCCGACGAAGGGCTAACGCTCGAAACGTCAGCTTTTGTAATCGTTACGGTGGCCAATTTACCATTTCAACTTTGTTGATATATCCAAATTATTTCGTTACTCCCACCGACGCAGCCCCAAACAGTTTCTTTCGAAACTATCAGCCTTTATTCATTTG